AAGTGGGGCCACATCGCCAGTATACGATATAAAGTAGAGCCACATCACCAGTATACGATATACAGTAGAGCCACATCACCAATATACGATATAAAGTGGGGCCACATCGACAGTATACGATATAAAGTAGAGCCACATCACCAGTATAAGGTATACAGAAGAGCCACATCACCAATATACGATATAAAGTGGGGCCACATCGCCAGTATACGATATAAAGTAGAGCCACATCACCAGTATACGGTATACAGAAGAGCCACATCACCAATATACGATATAAAGTGGGGCCACATCGCCAGTATACGATATAAAGTAGAGCCACATCACCAGTATACGATATACAGAAGAGCCACATCACCAATATACGATATAAAGTGGGGCCACATCGCCAGTATACGATATAAAGTGGGGCCACATCGCCAGTATACGATATAAAGTAGAGCCACATCACCAGTATACGATATACAGAAGAGCCACATCGCCAGTATACGATATAAAGTAGAGCCACATCACCAGTATACAGGACTTAAGTAGCCACATCAGTAGCCACATCGCCAGTATACGATATACAGAAGAGCCACATCGCCAGTATACGATATACAGTAGAGCCACATCGCCAGTATACGATATAAAGGAGAGCCACATCACCAGTATACGATATACGGGAGAGCCACATCACCAATATACGATATAAAGTGGGGCCACATCGCCAGTATACGATATAAAGTAGAGCCACATCGCCAGTATACGATATAAAGTAAAGCCACATCACCAGTATACGATATTAAGTATAACTACATTACCAGTATAAAATATAGAGCCGCATCGATAGTGCAATCTTATGTCACACCGTCAAGATGTTAATAAAAGTATTTTTTTTAGTAATATCACAGAATAAAGGTGATGCTCTGAAGTGTGCACTATCCTTAGATCATCACACAAAAAAAAAAAAAAATAAAACCATAGACTAACATATAACCGTATGTTTTATAAGCCCTAATACAATATCCTTAATTGCCCTTAAAAGATTGCCACCGTCGTCAAGGATTTCTATGCAGATTCATGATACGGCATGTGTCAACAGAAAATTGTTCTAATTTACCAAATATATAAACTGGGATTTACTGCATGTTTGGAGCAGTGGAGTGTTTGCCACATGTTCAGTGTCTATGACAGCGGCCATGTTCATGTTCAATGTCAACACTTGCCATATACGTCCCAGATCTGACCGACCTTCTCTTGCAGTTCCTCTGTACACTCGTCACAGTCTCTCGGTCCTCAGTCTCTCGCGTATTGCGTCGCGTCTCACAGCAGTGTGCGAGTTTTAGTAACCAGTGTCAATCAGTGAATTGGAATAACCAATATCTAAAGGTAATCATCCAAATGGTCTGCATTTCAAATTAAAAATTAAAATATGTTTATTAGTGGTATTCCAACAGCTTGGTCTCAAGTTAACAAAACTTGTCGGCCAGGTTCCTAATTTATAAAATACTTGAACGAACATGTTTCCTACAATTTTGAATATGAACTATACAAATTAAATGGAACGACAAATCAGGAATCATTTTCAAAACTAAATGGTGGTCTGATTTTAATTGATGATTGTTTGGCCACTACGCGGTTCATTACGATCGGGCATTTACAGTCGGTAAAAACCAAAAACACATTTAGGCAAAGAAGATACGTATATTCACGACGGGTGAGAAAATCTCAAATGTACGTGTTATGTTTAGTACAGCCAACTTGGTGGGGCATAGTTTCAATATGTCTTTCACTGCGTTTTCTAATATCTCAATCTGAAGGTTAATTTGTTTTATTGGTTTGTTTATTTATTAAATTATCGTAGTTAAAATGACTGAATAATAGGTACAGTTTTATTTCCTTTCCTTCTTATTCGCCATTACCACAGTTATAATTAATATTATTATTTTATTATACTGTGAAATTACATGCCCTCAGACATAATAACAATGACTTGTTTTTCTGACATGTTATTAATATTCCTAATCCTTACAAAGTAAGATACGAAAAGTCCTTATGAAGGAGTAAGAATAACCGCTGATAACTTAAATAGCATATATTGCTTAGAATATACTACAAACCCGAAAACGAAGAACTATATAGAAAAACACAAAAACTAATACAAGTTACTAAATAAAAAACAAATCTAATGACACCTTATTTAACAAAACAGGAAAAAAATAACAAAGTTTTGAATTTCTATATACATAGCATTGGTTGAACAATGAATAGTATATTTCATAACAACAGTAAAAAGTGAGCCTTTACATATTTGAGACCATGTTTGAAGTGCGAGATTGATCGAGCACGTTATGGTCGAGAATATGTTTGGACACACTCACACTCGTGTTTTGAACGTTACTTTTCGCTACACTACAAATAAAAAATATTTGTTTATTTACAGAACAAAATCCAAAAAAGATAATAAACATTACTTTCGCATAGTAAACATTCTTTTGCCGTCATAAATAATGTAACGATTTTTCGCAACTGATAAAGTGCAACGAAAACATCTCATTTCACAGTAGTGTAGCGAAATAGATATTATGCTACCACTCCATGGAAATTATCACACTGCTACGCTTATAAACAGTACACAAAATGCTTATTTTCTTGCGGTGGTAGAAAAATAGTTATTTGTGTAACTAATGTGCGAAGTGGCACTTGGCCCTCACGTTACAAAATATATTTTTTCCTACAGTTACTATAAAGTATATAAAATATTTAGTCTTTCAAACACTACAATACGTTTTTAGGTTGTACTACGTGTTTAAGTAGTAGTTATATGTTGATTAGTATTTTCAATCAAAATAGGTGGTAAAAAGTGTTATAACTTTGATTTCTTTCAGCCGATTTTGTTAATTAAAGGATTTGATTTTACGATAAAATTCTTCGTTTTAGAGATATTAAACATTTCAATTTTTGAATATCCGCCTTTTTTGAAATGTTTGTAAAATACAAAACTAATTTCTTTGTATATTAATTGTACTAGTTTTACTTGTCTGTGCCAAAATTAAAAGATTCCAAGTTAAGCGTTAAGAAGTTATAAGAAAATTTGTAAAAAACACATACAAACATAGACGGAAAAATAGGCATGGGAGACCCATGATTATAGTGCAAAATCTGTTTGTCCCTATGCAAGGAACAATCCCACAAAAGCGGTATTGGTTGTTTGGGGACACCCTGTGGAATAAAAGACAAAGAGCGTTTAGCGAATACTACTGACCACTACGGACTACAATATTCATTAGTTTTCAATCACATTTTAGCTGAGGCCATGTTTCTACACTTTGCATAATTAATGACGTTGCCTTAACAGACACCAGATCAATAGTCTCAAAACAAGTTGATGTTTTGTTCAGGTGTTAGGGGCAAGGGGTAACTGTTCTTAACACGAGATTAGAATATTCTATTTTAGTGCATTACCCTGCAGGAAATCTGTCTCCCTGGCAAACCCTAAAATTCGAATTAATTTACTTTTCTTCATTTTCCTTTTCCGAGGAGCCAAAAACACAGAGAAAAGTGCACACGCGCGTATACAGCCGTTTCTACTTCACCTGCCAATATATCAACAATTTTAAGATCACTTTTACTCCCCATGTTGTCCATGTGAAGAAAACGATTTGCAGAAAATTGCTTGTTTGTTTTACAGTAGATACATGTTAATATACATCTATTACGTCATAATGTTTGTCAAAGAAAAAACAATATATTATCTGTGTTTCCTCTGATAGTTAAAATAGTTAAATCTCAATTCATTGTCAATCGAGTGAAACATTGTTGTCATTTCCTTTTAAATTTAACTAAAAAAAGTAAATTATTGACTGAGCAATTTTAAATTATTAATCTATTATGATATCAATTCATTAAATTTTCAATATAATTTGAGAGTTGCAGTGTCTAAAAAATACATTGATCAATCAATTGATATTTTTTATGACTACCCATCAAATTTTCGCCAACTAACTATATGCAGGGTGTTTCGAAACTCTCTCCTGAAATGTTCCTTAGATCAAAACAAACAAAAAATATCATTTAAACATTTGCTCTATCTCGCTTCGTTTTCCGTCTGTCGGTGTTGGAACACCGATATATTGTTATGTAAACTTCCCCTAACTTTGGAACCACTTGAGGTATCAGCTTCAAACTTGGTACGTGTATGATGAGCAATATAGGCTCATGGGAACTATTATTTTGCAAAGAAACAAGTTTCTACTTTGTATAATTTCAATATGGCGGCCATTTAAATTTTTCAAAGCTTAACAACTCATAAACCATAGGATTTATAAAAAGGTTACAAATCACAAAAAGGATGCAAATTTAATTCCGTTTACAGAAATGTACAATTTGTATAGGGCCATAACACAAATAAGGGAGAAAAATTAAATTTTCTGAAGTTTAATAAAAATTTAGAAAATAAAAAACTTTATAAAAATGAAATTTCCTCCAATACCGGAATTGTGTTATGACCCTATACAAACTTTACATTTATGTAAAAGCAATTGAATTTCCATCCTTTTTGTCATATTTTTATAAATCCTATGGTTTTTAGTTATTAAGCATTGAAAAATTTAAATGGCCGCCATTTTTAAATTATACAAACTAGAACTTGATGCTTTGTGAAAAAATAGTTCCTATTAGTCATCATACATGTGCCAAGTTTGAAGTACGCACCAAGTCGTTTTAAAGTGATGGGAAGTTATGTAAAAAATACATACACACTGACAGATGGAAAACGAAGCGAGATAGAGCATAGGTTTATATGCTATTTTTGGCTTGTTTTGACCTAAGGAACATTTCAGGAGAGAGTTTCGAAACACCCTGCATATAGTTAGTTGACGAAAATTTGATGGGTAGGTAGTCATAAAAAATATCAATTGATTGATCAATGTATAAGGAGTTTCAAAACAGTATAACTAAGTATATTCATTCCTAAGGCTAAATATTTATGTTTTAATTGATGTTTTTCACTGTTTCAGAAGACAATCGAGCCAGATATCAGGAGGAGGCAGCCCCATTCCAGTCTCCCCACAAGGTAAATAAATACCCCCGCCAACCTGCAGACTAAGCGAATTCCCATTTACCTGATTGGATTTTCAATTAAATCTATTTAAATGGCATTAGGTTTCACAAGTAACCAGGATTGCTGATACAGGGAGGGTAATCAATTGTGTTTTTAGTAAAATATTAATAGCTTAGTATCAAAGATTATTATGAAATAAAAAAATTGGCCAAATGTGATTAAAATGCATCCTTAATCAAGCAAACAACAACATTTAATTATTTACTAGTGTATCTGTTGCTCGAATTCGAGCAATTGCTAAGTATTACAGGCGTTATTTTAAAACGAATAACAGTCATAATTTCTGATGACTAAAATATTAAACTCAAAGATTATGGATATAATCAACATTTATTGTGTATAGTGTTTTCTACAAATAGCCTTACTCATAGCCGCATTAGGTTTCCAAACACATTATGTGTCCAAATGCCTAACGACACGACTCATACCGTCCTGAGCGATAGGGATCCTTGAGATTCGCTCTAACCTTTCCGCTCCCATTCATGGGAAAGTTTTCATTCCTTTTCTTTCTTAGTTTTTTTTTTTTATTTTAATGCCTGTGTGTATTCCTGGTTTCTCTTATTTCCCTAGCTACTTTTATAAACGTCTCAATTGTTTCCTTGTCACTCATCATGTTTTATTTCCTCATCTCTAGACCTCTCTTATCCAAGACTTATTCCTGTTCTCTCCTATTTGTCTCCTGAAGTAAACAATTTATAAATACATGACTCGTGGTTTTTATTTCTCCACATCTACATACTTCCTCTTCCACCATGTGAAATCTTCACAAATTCGCCTTGAAATTTTCCGTGTCCTGTTACAAACTGTGTTACATAATGGCCTATCTCCCAATCTTGTTCCAGTCTCTTTCTGATGTTAGGTATATATCCGAACGTTTACCTTTAAAATGTTAACATAAAACACTCTGCTCCCAACGCATTTGCCACTCATCTAATATCTCCTCTCTTCTGTTTCCGATTTAGTCCTACCCGCCTCCTTGTCTTCCAAAATCAACAGCTTATGCAGCAATTATCCAACAGTCCTAAAATTGAATGTGAAATCTTCAGGCGGCTGTTGGAGAGCACACTTAAACCCAACACGGAAGGGTGTTTGCTGTATTCGGCTATCAACGACAATAGTATTATTTGTATTTCGTTCGCGTCTACCAGTTAAAGTTTGTTGGCCTCCTCCTATTTGCCGACCTGTCCTGGTCAACGTCTTATAGTCTCCATTATGTCGAACTTTTTTTTTGTTATGTTTTGATTTTGTGCAAAATTTTAGTATATCCAGCTGTTTAAAATATTATTGTCAATTTCAAAGTATTCATCTGTTCAAATGTAAACAAACAGTTTCTCCCTAAGAATAACATGGGAACTTTGAAGGCCACTGGGGCAGAGCCCTGATGGAATTCCAAAGTTATTTTGTTTGATGGCAAAACTACATGCTAAGACCTTTCTAACTACACCTTCTTGGACATGGTGATCGGTAGCACCACCACTCCAAAACAATTATGACAAAAATATGCCTAGCGTATTAAATATATAGATTCTCACATTGGAATTTTTAATTTACAATTTTATGAATTTTCTCCATAACCGCTAGGCATACAAAAACGCTTCAATATACTAAGTTATTTCTTTTCTAAGCTCTAAAAATGGTTTGGGAAGAAATTGTAAAATTTTATGTTTTCAAGATCTAAAATGGGAAAACCAATTTTTATTCCACAAAACCCCTTCATAAATCCCCGTTCCCATAGTCCGATCATGCTGGTTTACGAACTCATTTGAATTAACATAGCTTTACACGTTTGTACAGAAATCAATGAATTCAATGTTCTTAACTCTAATGAAGAAATTACAAAAATACATCTAATCACAATCTCATTTGTGAACATTTCTAGAGGATAAGTAAAGTAAATATCGGTAAAAAGCTGAGGTTGCTTAAAAAAGAGAGCAGTAGGCAATTTTCTTTTGTAGAGTAGCGAGTTTCTTACACCACATTATTATGTGTTGTTGCCTCAACTTAGGTGATGGTATGTTCCAGGAGACAACCAGGCGCCACCGCCACCACCACCACCTCCTCCCTCGGCTGGGTACCCTGCCCCGCCTCCCCCGCCACCACCAGGACTGCCTGGGAACATCCCTGCTGTGCGACTCAACACCGAGGTACAGAGTTACTATACCACAGCCAGCACTTGTACATTGTCAATCATTCCCAACAAGTAAACCCAATATGCAAACTTTAACTTACATGTAGAATGTTCAATAAAGATTGATCATATAACTATAATTACTTATGGCCTAACATGTCTTTAAGGCAACTGTATAAAATTAGATAAAACCCTTTGGTAGTGGTAGTACTAACTTTTTTCACACACTCAAAACACAGGCAACAGCAAAAAGGCAACCCCTTATTCACTAACGTTTTGGGATAGATAGAGTATGCCATCTTCAATCTTCAGAGTGACCTACAGTATTACTACTGCACACTTGACATATTAAGTCACCCTGAAGATGGCACTATGCATGGCCTAAACATTGTTGCATAGAAGTGTTTTGTCTGTTTTCACACAGTCCTTGTCCAGAGAACACAAATCTACACTTTTCAGTATGACCTCATGCAATATCCATGAAGACGTCTTACCGGTACAAAAATAGTTTGCACATTAATTTCATTATCTTAGGTTTAGTATTGATATTTATACTTTAGATGTTCAAAGAGTTCTATAGGTTTATTTAACAAAGATTTCAATATAAATGTTATAAAAAGTTGTAGAAATCCAGCCTACACAAAGGTAAAATTTCAATGTAACTCTCTACGGTAAAGAAAAATAAATATAGAAAAAACAACTTTATAGTGGTAGTGTGTAGCTAAGTTGTTGTCATGATTTGAACAGGATTGTGGTTGTGTACAAATTTTATATCACGTAAAATAAGTAAGAAATGCAAAAACCTTACGCTTACACACCCTTGAATTTGTTGGACATTTTCTCCAAGACTACTTACTTATGTAAAAGAAAAAAATATTAGTATGCTCTAAGATTTTTAAATTTTTAATTAATATTGTATGATATGAATGCAATTTTAAGCATAGCATACTTTAATTTCTGATTTTAGCTAATTGGGGAACCTTAGTTTTTTTAGGTAAGCAAAAGCAGCCAATTTTCATACGTTTTACAAGTGTAGGTTAAAATTAACTAGGAAAACTAAAATAGTAGGTACTATAATTAACTGTTTTACCAAGACTAGTCATGAAGTCATATGGATATCTTTTCAGATTCCTGAGAAGAGACGTTCAGCGTATGAGCCTCCAGCTGCCATACAAAACGCAATGATGACCAAAGATAAGAAGCCATTCACATACACACCAGGAGGTCTGGATCTGTCAGAGATCAGGTCTCCGCGAATGGCAAGGAGGATCAACCGCAACGCTAATACCCCCGATATGGCCCCACTACCACAACAGTCCAGACCAACGTCAGTGCCCAGTGGCCCACTCCCTCCGTCAGCTATGGCTGCCATGCAGCCTCAGATAGCCATCCCTGTACTGCCTCAAGGCGGGGCAGTCCCTCACCTTCACCATGTAGCTGGACCGCCACCTCCTCCACCCCCACCACAAGCCATGCATTCTCCTCCCTCGCCTCCGCAACCTGTGTCTCCCCAGAAAGTGATAAATCGTCAACCGTCCCCACCGCCAATGGCCGTGCCAAAAATGCAACCTCAACACAGACACACAAAAAGTGAACCTCAAACATCGACTGCTGGTAGTATATACGTCCCTCCTATAGAAGCCCAGCAGCCGAGGGCTCAACTAGGATCCTTGTATATTCCTCCTATTGCCCCGCAAGAGACAATAAAGCCCCAGTCACCTGTCAGTCAACTCAATAAGGCCCCGACTCCTTGGATGTCTCGACAGAACCAGCAGACACCAAAAGAGGTCCCTCCCTGGGTGAACAGGGAAACCGTTACTAGTCCTCCACCAAACCAAAACCAGCAACCTAGAGTCATCCCTGTCCAAAGTCCTCCTCCAAGCCAACACCCTCAGCAGCCCCAAACCAGGATCATCCCTATCCAGGTAAGAGCAGGATCTCTTTGTAACTGTGTAAGCACATTTTATTAAAAAGTAGGACCCATGCTGCTCCGCAGCATTAAAATAAATATAATATCCAAGAAATAATCAAATTTATGATTTTTGATTGGAAGATTGAGTAATAATATCAGATATTAGTCATGTTTGCTAGATTGGTTTTATGTTGTTCCTCCCAATTTCAGGAAGAGGTCCTAATAAGTCAATAAGTCATTTATTGGGCCAAATTGACAATACTTGCATTAGCCAAGTCAATACAATAAAAATAAATTTAATACATCTTGATAACAAAAATTCCTTACTGTAAAAAATTCTATAACTAAATAACTAAACATACGCACATGACTTTGTGAATGACCACTAAAGTAGGTATTCACGGACGCTGTAAAACGATCTGTCCTAAAAGGAAAACTTAAATTGAGTGTTTACATTAATTCGAGCTTGCATTCGAGTTAATGGAATGCGATAGCGAGCGAGTTACTATTCTAGTATTGAATGACGGATTAAATTCCACCAGCGTTTACATTGTTGTTGTTACTGGAATAATGATAGCAGTTGCGAGTGATCTAATTGTAAGGCGAAAGTGAAGTATTCATGTATAATATGTTTATATTTAGTATGTTTAGTGAGTGAACTTATACAGAGCCGTATTTAGACTCGAAGAGGCCCCGGCGGCTCTCACCAGAGAGGCCCCTCTATAATCTGATTCTATGATGGTTGGAACTATAGAAATGCACGTGGTATTGCTTCAACTTGATCAATTGACCTTTTGTTTAAAACAATCCAATCAGCAAAAATACCTAGGAGACTAAAGTAATAAAAAAGTCTATCAATGTTTTAATTAATAATATTAGGAGTCTTAGGTCGGGGCCAGCCAGATATTTTAATTTCTTTCTTGATAAAAAAATGTTCACCTTCGGGCATCGGATCAAAATCAGATAGTTTTCAAATGAATTAATTTAAAATATATTAATTGATATACTATTAATTGGTTAATACAAAATCTAATCGTGGACATATGAAACGGTAGCGGAGGAATTGTGAACATCTTCTACATTTACGGCAAAATAGTAAACAACATGCTCAATTGTGGAGACATCATCTTTGTCTTCTGCGATCGCGGCAAAATCATGAACTGCGGAAAAATCTGCTTCTTCCGCTATGGTCGCTTAGAAATAGTTATCATCTTGCGCGGGTGCTGAGACTTCATCTTCGTCTCCTCTGATTGCAATGGAATCATGAACGTCTTATGTGGCCGGGGAGAAATAGTTAAAATTTTGCGCAAGCATGGAGACATAATCTTTGTCTCCTCCAATCGGGGCGGAATCATGAACGTCTCATGTGGCCGCGGAGGAATAGTTAACCTCTTGCGTGACCAAGAAGTCAATATTTATGTTTCCTGCGATCATGACAAAATCGTGAAGATCTTCCAAGTTCGGGGACATGATCTTTGACTCCCATGGTCTCGATAAAATCCTGGATATCTTCCGCAATTGCGGATGAATAGTACATTCCTACGTTGACCCCAAAATAGTAAAGACTTTTTGTTGTTGCGAAAATTTCACCAACGTATCACATGATTGCGGCGAAACAGATAATCGGTGAAGTAAATTTATCAAGAAAAAAATTTAAGGCCCTAGTGAGAGGCCCCCTCCTAGACTGGGGCCCCGGCAACCGCTGTGTCCGCTGTTAGGGAAATATGGCCCTGAGCTTAAATTAATGTAAGCACGCTTTTATAATCCAATTTTTACTTCTACACTTAAGTGTTTTATTCTTTTGTTGTTTTTTAGATTGAAGGCAAAGAGCCAGCAAAATCGAATGAGAGAATAATACCCATTCAACTAGAGGGTACTCCATCTCCTCAACCATCTCAAGCTCCATACTACAACCAACCTCCCAGCTACCAGCAACAGCAATACCAACCACCACAATATCAACAACAGCAGCAGCAACAGTACCAACAGCAGCCACAACAGCAGTATCAACAACAACAACAGCAACAATACCAACAACAACAATACCAACAGCCAAACTCTGGACGGCAGACCCCTGGGACTCCCCGATGGGTGAATCAACAGCCTGTTTATCAACACAACAAGTTCAACTCTGGTTCTCAATCACCTGTGACTGTGGAGCAGTAAGTCAATTTTACTAGATATTTATTTATGATGAACAAAAAGTGTATTTAGTTAGGCAATCTAGTACTAGTATTTTAGGTTTGTTTAAATTTGTTCTTTTTGTTATTTTACTAGTGGCATTTAATCGGTGGTCAAAATAATACACACTTTTAATAAAAAAAATAATACAGTGTTCAGAAAAAGTAGTCCAAACCCAAAAAATCTTTATGGAAATTTTGTTAACAAAAAGCAATACTACACTAATTTGTTACCCTTAATCCCAGGAACAACGGTAGCAGTCAGCCCCGGCCCAGCTGGTGCCACTCACAGACAAATGGCTCTCAATCACCTGCACCTGTTCAGTCCCAATCCTTCAAGGTGCTACAGAAAATCACTGGAACTGATGGTCAGTGTATTTTTATTTATATACTAGCTGTGTGCTTACTCCCCGTTATACGCTCGGGGATCTTATAGTATTCAGTTAAAGTTAAATTGAATACTACCGTAATAAATAAGGTGCAACACTAACGATAACTAACTTGTAAATAGTGATGTATTGGTACGTAAAAATTATTCTTGTTGATACCAGCGGTTCTAAGGAAAAAAACAGTACCAAAAACCAAATTTTACAGTTAAGAACTATAGTACATCCGACCAATTAAATGCGTTAATCCAGTTCCGAGGCTATTGATCTCTCTTGGTTTTGGATTTTCTGACAAAAAGTTATTGAAAATAAAAGTTATTTCCCATTAATTGAATTATTTGTAAACAACATTTATCGAGCGAAGCTCTTATACGTCGACTCTTATGCATTTCGTAATACGCAAACTCCTCCTAGACGGCTGAATCAATCGTTTTCAAATTTTGCATGGTGATAAAGACCATATCGGTGAGTGCCAACATCTATATGGCGTTAAAAAAGTCTCTCAGGAATCCGCCCCACTGGGTCTCAAAGTTTCAATGTAATCCTTATGGAAGCAGTATTTGACACATAAACAAAAACATATGATCAGCTGTTGACTTTTGAATGCAGTAGATAAGGAAATAGCTGAGAGTATTAATCCACAGATATTAGAACAGAAACGGTATGGATCATAAATATAATCAAATGACGACACTAGCTTGAAGTCCGTGACGTAGGAAGTGGTGAAGGAAGTGGTAAAGGTGAGCAGTCTGGAGTGTGGAAACTGTATATGACAATTAGATTTAGGTATCTGCATTCCTCAAATTCTATGGGAAGGGAGGAAAACGGGTCCGCAACGTAGGAAGTGGTGAAGGGAGTAGTAAAGGCAAGCTGTCCGGAGTGTGGGAACTGATTATGACGATTATATTAAGGTATCTGCAATCCTAAAATGCTATTGTAAGGGAAGGAAACAGGTCCGTGACGTAGGAAGTGGTGAAGGAAGTAGTAAAGGCGAGCTGTTCGGGGTATGGGATCTGTTTATGACCATTAGATTAAGGTATTTGCAATCCTAAAACACTATAGGAAGAAAGGAAAACAGGTCCGCGACGTAGGAAGTGGTGAAGGAAGTAGTCAAGGCGAGCTGTCCGAAGTGTGGAAACTGTTTATGACGATTAGATTAAGGTATCTACAAACCTAAAATGCTATGGGAAGGAAAAAAACAGGTCCGTGACGTAAGAAGTGGTGAAGGAAGTAGTAAAGGCGAGCTGTTTGGGGAATGGGATATGTTTATGACTATTAGATAAAGGTATTTGAAATCCTAAAATACTATGGGAAGGGAGGAAACCAGGTCCGCGACGTAGGAAGTGGTGAAGGAAGTAGTAAAGGCGAGTTGTCCGGAGTGTGGGATCTGTTTATGACCAATAGATTAAGGTATTTTCAATCCAATAATGCTAAGGGAAGGGAGGGAAACAGGAGTGTGGGAACTGTTTATGACGATTAGATTAAGGTATCTGCATTCCTAAAATTCGTTGGGAAGGGAGGAAAACGGGTCTGCGAGTAGGAAGTGGTGAAGGAAGTAGTCAATGCGAGCTGTCCGGAGTGTGGGAACTGATTATGACGATTATATTAAGGTATCTGCAATCCTAAAATGCTATTGGAAGGGAAGGAAGCAGGTCCGTGACATAGGAAGTGGTGAAGGAAGTAGTAAAGGCGAGCTGTTCGGGGTATGGGATCTGTTTATGAACATTAGATTGAGGTATTTGCAATCCTAAAATACTATGGGAAGAAAGGAAAACAGGTCCGCGACGTAGGAAGTGGTGAAGGAAGTAGTCAAGGCAAGCTGTCCGGAGTGTGGGAACTGTTTATGACGATTATATTAAGGTATCTGCAATCCTAAAATGCTATTGGAAGGGAACGAAACAGGTTCGTGACGTAGGAAGTGGTGAAGGAAGTAGTAAAGGCGAGCTGTCCGGAGTGTGGGAACTGATTATGACGATTATATTAAGGTATCTGCAATCCTAAAATAATATTGGAAGGGAACGAAACAGGTCCGTGACGTAGGAAGTGGTGAAGTAAGTAGTAAAGGCGAGACGTTCGGGGTATGGGATCTGTTTCTGACCATTAGATTAAGGTATTTACAATCCTAAAATACTATGGGAAGAAAGGAAAACAGGTCCGCGTCGTAGGAAGTGGTGCAGGAAGTAGTCAAGGCGAGCTGTCCGGAGTGTGGAAACTGTTTTTGACGTTTAGATTTATTTATCTACAAATCTAAAATGCTATGGGAAGGGAAAAAACAGGTCCGTGACGTAGGAAGTGGTGAAGGAAGTAGTAAAGGCGAGCTGTTCGGGGTATGGGATATGTTTATGACTATTATATTAAGGTATTTGCAATCTTAAAATTCTATGGGAAGGGAGGAAAACAGGTCCGCGACGTCGGAAGTGGTGAAGGAAGTAGTAAAGGCGAGTTGTCCGGAGTGTGGGATCTGTTTATGACCAATAGATTAAGGTATTTGCAATCCATTAATGCTAAGGGAAGGGAGGGAAACAGGCCCGAGTCGTAGGAAGTGGTGAAGGAAGTAGTCAAGGCGAGCTGCCCGGAGTGTGGGAACTGTTTATGACAATTAGATTAAGGTATCTACAATCTTAATATTCTATGGGAAGAGAGGGAAACAGGCCCGCGACGTAAGAAGAGGTGAAGGAAGTAGTAAGGTGAGCAGTGTGGAGTGTGGGAACTGGGAACCGTTTGTAGGAGTTAGATTAATTTATCTGCAATGCTGAAATGCTATGAAAAGGGATGGAAGCATGTCCACGATATAGAAAATTGTGAAAGAAGTAGTAAAGGCTAGCAGTACGGAGTGTGGGCAATGTTTGTGGCAATTAGATTAACGTATCTAAAATACTAAAATGCTATGGAAAGTGATGAAAACAGGTCCACGATGTAGGAAGTGGCTTAGGAAGTAGTAAAGTATGAGCATAGTGTGAGAACTGTCTGTGGCAGTAAGATTAATGTATTTTCAATCCTAAAATGCTATGAGAAGGGAAGAAAACAGGCCCCACGACGTAGGAAGTGATGAAGGAAGTAGTAAGGCTTGCAGTGCTGAGTGTGGGAACTGTCTTTGGCAATTACAATGATGTATCTGCAATCCTAAAATTCTATGGGAAGAGAGGGAAACAGGTCCATGACGTAGGGGGTGGTGTAGGAAGTAGTAAATGTGAGCAGTGTTGAGTGTGGTAATGGATTAATGTATCTGCAATGTTAAAATGCTATGGGAAGAGACTGTAGACTGTAGGTTAAAATGATTACGAAGCACGGATCGATACATATTTCGATACATGGAATCATTTACAATAGAAATTTACAACAGCTGATTTTTACTCCATAGAGGCTAAAAATGATTTTTACTCCCTAAAGAGTAAAAATGCTACTTTAGACCCGCAACGCATGCATTAAAAACGACTGTTTTTACTGCAGTATGACAAAAACAATATAATATGAACCCTTGATGACTCCGCTCAATTTTGTGGATGCCTCTGCGAAAGCCACCTAGTTTAATGTAAACATATCAGTAACAGCTAAAAAAAATAATCTTGATCCGAACAGCTGTTTGTTATTTCATAGATGATTATGTGATGGACATTGGGAGAAAACTTGACAAAAATCGCACAAAATCGGGTTTTTAAACTTTCGTCATTTTATTTAAAAAATAGTGAGGCCATATTTTAATGGCTAAAGACAATCTCGCTAATCCAGTGAATACATTAAAATGATTTGGATCTTGATAGCTACTCTCGTTTTTCAGGAGAAGGCCGCGTAAAATGCCTCTTGGGCCGTAACAGACAGACCGACAGACAGATATAGAGATTTGACTGGTTTCGGCTTCTTAAATGTATTAAACGGAAAAATAATCTAAAAACTTATAATTTTGAACAATGTACAGACAAAACTGAAATTTTATTTATATAGATATATTATTCATAGATAAGTTTAATCTTTGAAATAGATTTAAAAAATAATTATTTACCTAACGATTCAGTATCTCATATACCTGAAAGTAAAATATAAAACATTGCAAGTCCTCTGTTTAGGAACACCTCCCTCGCACAAATGTTAACCAAAATAATGAATACGTTACGATATGAGTACATACTTAAGGCCCGACTTTATTGGTATAAATTCATGCGTCTAGAAGTGACTTCATGAGTCAACCAAAAGGCACAATTAATTGGTTTGTGATTGCAGTGTACCTTAATATAATTATTAATGGGCTTACTTCTTTTCATTAACAATCCAGCTCAAACAAAAGCGAAAAAGTAACCTTTCATGTAATACATGAAATCAATAGTCAATTTGTGAGGGAAGATACACACGGATTACTACATGTTGATACTTCAGTCTTCTAAGCGTTTGTCGACCACCTACCCCATTTACAAAATGAAATTCCAATATCCTTGGATGTTATATACAGGAGCCGACCAGAACGACGCTCCGTACAACAGCCAGGGAGTTCCACTGAGTCAGCTGCGTAAACTACAGCTTTCTGATGATGATCGGGCTCTGATGGACAAAGTCAAGTCTCAAGGTATGTTCATTTCTCAAACAAAGAAAATAGGACTGGTAGGTGGTAAAAGTCAATAGAATCAAACAACAACTTTGTTGTAGCATCAACAAAAATTCTTACTATAAAAAGAGCAAAACACTAAAATCTTACTTATTCTTGAGCCAAATAGCCCAGTAAATGTACCCTCATTATTTATTTTATGTCAAGTGTTTAACCTAAGAATAGTAAATCTTTTTAAATTTAGAACTGTAGATACTAAAATATAGCTTCAATGTGAAATTAAGTGGACCATCTAGTTACGAGTAATTTATTACTGGACTTGTAAAATTGATCCTTAGTGTCAACTTCTCTAATCATTTAAAGTAAATGCAATTTAAAACATATTTACATGAAAAATATTTTAACATAAAACCAAACAAAGACAGTTTTAGTAGTCATTAAAGTAACTAGAACAGGACATTTATCTTTACAGAGGGAAATTCACCATGGATATGACAAATAGCAAAACTGTTATATACCGTACCCACAAAATTTGGATTTTAGGCAAATATTTTTATTAGTTACAGACACAATTGTACAAGAAGACGAAGAAAACCCAAGGTACAGAGGTGGATATATTCCATCCAAAGTCTTCAAAATGTTGGATGAAAGTGGTAAATTAGACAGTCAATTCTTAATGATGGTGCAGGCTGACATTGCATCAGGTGGAAGCTTCAGGGGATGCTTAAATTGATAATTCTTTTGCATGACAGGAACGGAATCCAAACTAGAAGCTATTTTTCTTATTAATTTGCTATGTAATGTTCATAATTTACATAATTTAGGGTAGTTAAAAATATAGTTTAAACCATATTTATTCCACTAAAGTGTAAAACAATATTGTTCAGAATTCCTAAATTACACAAATAGTTAGCTCTTAAAATACACAAATAGTTAACATTGAGACCCAGAAAAAAAGTATTTCCTCTTAAACTCTGCTGTTAACTTGTTTAGAAGAGGGTAAGGTAAGTTGGGGTAACTGGGCCCAGGGGGTAACTGGGCCATTGGCTGCTATTTCTGCTATTGTAAGAGTATTTTGGTTTTTGGGTGTTGGCAGCACTGCTAGGATGTATTTCCTGTCTAAAACATCAAACCTAACCTCTTTTATGATTGTTGTCCTTTTAATAGGTACATTTGAAAAGTTAGTTGTTTTTTTCTGAAAACATCGCAGTGTGATGACAACTTTAATATTATTTTGAATATTCAATGTAAGTGTTTTTATAATACTCGATACTGTAGATCTATAATACAATATGTAATTATCGTTATTACATCTAGTTCTGCACATGTGTCCAATAAGTTTTGAGGTTAGGACATGTGGCCCAGTTACCCCTTGAACTAATGCTTTTATGGGGTAACTGGGTCACATGTCTGGGGTAACTGGGCCAGGTATGGTCCCAGATACCCCACAGGACCCAGTTACCCCGGTGTTTAAGGCTGACGATTTGGTCAGGTACAAGAAGAATCGCCAGAGACCAGAATCATCAGAAACCAGTACCCCTTTAACCACCATACAACCAGAAACGTGTTCTTCTTCAGCCCCAAGAAGAACAATATTTAAAACAGATACGGTTTGCTCTGGCTAGAGGCCAGCCTTCCTTCAACCACTGTACAACCGAAAACCTGTCATACTTCAGATATCAGTGCAGTTGGAAGCCAGTACATCTTCAACCACAGTGCAACCACTACCTTGTTCTGCTTCAGGATGAGCACAGCCAGAAGTTGACTCTTCTTTAGTTGTACATTCAGAAGAGTAAAGTACTCCCACACTGCAGGGGCGTAAAAGCTTTGAAGAATTGTTGCTAGAAATTATGAAAATAGAGAAGAAAAAAACAGAAAATCCTGAGAGAAAAAGAAAAAAACTCGTCAAGAATTGTGAAATTATTACAACCCAAGACTATCTATTAAAGAAAGAACAAGAAGAGAAAGAGAAAAAGGAAAACATAGAGAGGAAAAAACTCAAAATGACAAAGAAAACTGAAAAATCAACTGGAGTAACCAAACGAAAAGTCATGAATAAGATATTTAAGATGAACAAAAAAAGGGTGTTTGACTATGAGTCTGACAGCAGTGATGGTTTGGATTTAAAAGACATTGTAGAAGAAAATGAAAGGACTTTGGAAGATGAGAACAAAATTGAAATGTTATGTAACGGTGAACAGTCCTTCGACAACCTTTCCAAACTGCAAAAAAATTCATAAAAAAGTTGGTGAATATGTAATATTTAAGTATGAAGGAGAATATTTTCCTGGGAAAATTTTAACCCCTTTCAAATATTGAAGTAGAAATATCTGCAATGCAAAAATCTCTTAGGCCTGGCAATGGCCAGATAAAGCAGATATTGGTAAATACGACTGGGAAGATGTCATCGGTGCGATTGACGAACCAAAAATTATTTCTAAACGAGGCTTTTATCAAATTAAGGAACTAGAATCTTTGTGGGACATCTAGAAAAATAAGAACTATTGACCTTGCCATAATAAGACGTTCTAGGTCGCTGTAACTTAGCTGTTTGAAGTTTCAGCGTTCTTTTGCAATGTCATTTGTGTAAAAAAAACACGTTTAATTTAGAACTGAAATAATATAGGCATAATTAATTACTAAATTGTATACTTAGGGCCTATTTTGGTTCAGTTTTATAATTTATATAAATACAGGTGTGTTTTGAATGTATTTTATTCAATTTGTTCAAAAACATAGTCACCATGGCAACGGGAGGTTATCCATTTACATTCCAAATATCTTTAAAAGCACTTAAGATAAACCAATGTTTGTTATTTTTTATAAAGTACAAAGATATTAAATCAGGCCCAGTTACCCCAGAGCAAATTATTCACGCCCAAATGGTATTTAGGACTAGGTGGTCCAGTTGCCCCAGTTTCAGGGGGTAAGTGGGCCCACCAGACTTAAATGAAAAAAATATATAAAAAGTCTATTTAAGAAATAACTTTTGTCAAAATTAAGTTTTATGTAAAATACATATATAGCAGCTTATTTTCACTCATCTACAAAGAAATATATATGTATACTTTGGCTGACAGAAAGGTAAAAAGCTCAAATATACTCAACTTCGTTGTAAAATCATGGCCCAGTTACCCCAACTTACCTTATATGGGATTTTCTTTATTTGCGTATTCGTTGGATTAGAACCATGTTATTATTTAATAGTTGATGATGAAACTTACCTTCACAACGAGTCAGATCCGAGGTACCGAGGTTCTGCCATACCTTCTAGAGCCTTCCGGATACTTCAGAACATGACGGATGGCACTGGCGGCGAAGAGAGTATGGGTAGAAGTGTGTGTGTTGTATGTCATTAACTGGTGTTTCAGTTTAAACACAGTAACAATGTATTCAAGTCATTTTAATAACATCTTAATAATCAAAAATATTACGAACAATTATCTGTGGAAAAAGGGGTTTTCAGGTTTGCAATCTTGTACTTTAGAAATTGTAGGGATAAAATTTTACAAAATGAAAATAGTAGTTTATGCGATTGCGTAAAGATAGTCGTTGACACTATTTACAAGAGTTGCATAGCCTATACTACTTTACCTACGACAGTGTTTTAGTTACTAAAAATCACTACTCATAACTTCTAAGAGAGATAATGTTTTCGTTTATAACCTCTCATTGCCACTGACAGTGATGCAACGAAACATATTGTACCAAACATTATAATTGCACCACTCAACAACTAAATTGGCCTGAACAGCTGATTACTTTAATTTCAAATCATTACAATTTCCTTCTTCTCTCTCAATCCTTGAACCTCAATGATCGGTTACCCGTGTTATGAGTAAAACTATGCTGTTCGAAAGTAAACAATGCTCTGTTATGTGAAAGTTTACAATTCTAAAAACTGAACTGAAACGGCTACTTAAAATAACTGTCGTAGGAATATTTTTTATATTTTACATACCGCATGTTTTCAATTGTTTCCCCATAAAATATCTAATTATATTATTGTGTTTGTACATTGAAAAATAAGATTATTTCCGTTTCAGAACTGTCTCCTAAATGAATGTCAAACTGTTTTGTACTATATTTTGTATTAAAACAACTTTGTAAGAACGTTCCAAGTAAAATTATTTAGTGAATCCAACATCTATATATCTAATTCCGTAAGCCCAAAATTTTACAATGAAATTGTGAGCGAACGGGAGGCGGTAGAAAGCTGGAAGAGGTCTCATTTTAAAGGTCTGGGCATGAAATTTTGGGGAAAATTATTCATTTTTCTTAATTATGCACAAAAAGGTTGTTACGGAATAAAAACAATTCACATTTAAATAGCATGGGAATCTAATTTTATGTATTTTTATTTAGTGCAAACACAGCTGTGATTATATAAATTGAAAAAATATAACCACAAAACTTAAAAACTGTAAACTTAAATGGCTTGCACAGTAACAATGTATAATGTCAGAAGACTACCACTCAGAGGTATTGTTCCTCGAAATGAGAATCTATATATCTAATTCCGTAAGCCCAAAATTTTACAATGAAATTGTGAGCGAACGGGAGGCGGTAGAAAGCTGGAAGAGGTCTCATTTTAAAGGTCTGGGCATGAAATTTTGGGGAAAATTATTCATTTTTCTTAATTATGCACAAAAAGGTTGTTACGGAATAAAAACAATTCACATTTAAATAGCATGGGAATCTAATTTTATGTATTTTTATTTAGTGCAAACACAGCTGTGATTATATAAATTGAAAAATATAACCACAAAACTTAAAAACTGTAAACTTAAATGGCTTGCACAGTAACAATGTATAATGTCAGAAGACTACCACTCAGAGGTATTGTTCCTCGAAATGAGAACTAGAGGCGCCAGATTTGGCACGATATTAATGGAAGAAGAATAAATGAGCATCGGATAACCATGAAGTTATTCCTGTGTATAGATTACCACTTTTATGTGAGATTGCATTACACATGCGTAGGGCCAATGAACTATGGGTGCATTCATTGTAGTGCATTGCGCAATTTGATTTGGTGAAATTGTGGCGGAAGGCCGAACCTTCACAAAAGTTGGCATTAATTTGAAAATCTCAGTGTTTACCCATGGTTAACTTTATGTTGCTTTTAGATGGGTAAAGAGCGTGGATGATGTTAATAGTACCATAGATAAAACATACTCCCTTATAGTACTAACAGATCAAAATGGATACTATACAACAAATGTTTTTTCAGAGAGATTTTGTTAGATGAATTAGCATTTTACAATTTGGATGATGACATTATCTCTATATGTGTTTTTCTAAGTGAATTTGTCTATATTTAAAGAAATCTATATATATTTATTTAATAGTCATGAAGAATGTTATTGGAAAATGTTCCTTAGTTGTATTATGATTTGAAAGTTTATATTATAAACACACCACATGTCCTTTGGAATTTTGTATTTTAAATAGAGCAGACATCAAAACGCATTTTGCAGGTATGTAATAACTATTATACATATCATAATAAAAAAAGTTAAATGATAATTCAAGGTAGGTAGGGTAACCCATGAGACTAATAATTTGTAAAAGTAATTACTATAGAATATAGGGGCTATTGCCCCTACAAGCCACTAGTTTATATTCTACTTTATATGTACTAATTTTGAAAAATGTCATAGTATAAAATCATTTCTGAGTTCATAAATCATTTAAGATCTGAAAAATTATTTTTTCATAAAAGTGGTAGCAAGGCCTGCTATTTTTCAACACTTACAACATGCATCCAACCAGTAATTTCTTTATTTTTTACATTTTAGCGAATTTCCCTATAGGGAAGTAGCTATTACCGTAGGTGGCACGGTAAGACCTAGACCCGGGACCGATTTACTTTTTCATTTTGATATCGCCAGAGGCCAAAAACACCATTCGTTCAAATTTTTATATATCAATATATATATATATATATATGAAATTTGGTTTGAAGGTGTAAAGCGGGATAAACTTGAATGAGTTCGCAAACCAGCATAATCGGACCATGCAAACGGGGCTTTACGGGGGGTTTTATGGGGTAAAAATTGGTTTTTCTCACTTTTGACCCTCAAAACACAAAATTTCCCAATTTCTCTTTAGACCTTTTTAAAGAGCTTAAAAAAAACAATTAATTTAGTATATAAAAGTATTTTTGTTCGGTTAATAGTAACGGAGAAAATTTAAAAAATTGTAAATTTAAAATTCCCATGTTATTCTTATGAAGAAAATTGTCAAATGTTGTAGTTTACTTGTTTATGGATATATTTTGTATTTTGATCAAATTTATTTATTTTGTACTAAGCTATCAATATTTTACAAAAAAACACACTTTATTAGTTTCCTTTTAGCAGCAAACCTAGGTACTCGGTAAACCTAATGTTATTAAAATATATTTAATTGAAAATCAATTAAGACAAATGGAAATTCGCTTAGTCGGCAGGTTTGCTGCGGCGGGGTTATTCTCATATAAACCTATAAAACTATGTATTGTCAACAAAAACCAATGCTAGCATCAAAAGTAAAGATGTTTGACCATTTGGGGTTTGATTAAGGATCTTAAATTTTCTTCGGGATTAACTTAATTCATGAAACTTTAACCTACCAAAAGCACAGTGGATGTGTATGATTTTTACCTTCTCTGAGCTGTCAGTTTATATATTTTAAAAAATTACAGGTTTGCATGTTCTGGATAGTTGTTTGCTGCATGGATTTTGGGTTGTAAAGCATGGCATTGTAAAATTAAATTAAATATAAACCCTAAACATGTTAAATTTTGAAATAGGTAACTTTAAGAATATTTTTTTCAAAGGAAACTCGATCAGTAGTAGTGAGTCAAAGTGTAAAATTACAAAAAAGTTGCAACAACTTAGTGACTGACCACCAAACATGCATTCTATTTTTAATATTGCTGGTAAAAAAGTGAACCCCAAATACAGGGTCTTTTTAACGCAGCCCAAATTACAAATACAGTAGACTCCCTCTTATCCGGACTCCTTGGGACCGAGGCCAGTCCGGATAATGGTTTTTCTGGTTAAACCGACGTCCCCAAAAAATCGTTAAAATGGACCGTTTACTGGGATATTTTACTTAAATTTTGGAGACCATTGTATTTAGACACGTGATCACTGGTCTCAAATCTTTCGTCCTTAGAACAGTCGTTTTAGTACCGCCCACTTCCTGCCAATCTAGTACGGTTAAACCAATGTGCTGATACAAATTTTCCTGTTAAAGAGATGTCGTTTCCGCCGAGTGTAGTCCGGTTAAAAGGTGTCTGGATACGAGGGAGTCTACTGTAAAGAGATTTACTGTTTAAGGGTGAGTTTCATTTGTCCAACATTTCATTTGTCCGAGGTTGGTTTGTCACTGCCCTAATCAGTGAGCCAGATTTTGGTTTTGAATCAAGCTTATAAACATACCCACAGACCAATCTTTTATATTATTTTTTCTGTCGGGTAGGGTCTTAATAATAATTATTTACATGAGAGAACAATAAAAAATGCAATCATGTATCAAATATTTTTTTTTTCTCAACAATGGTTATGACCTTGGTCCATAGATTAATTCGTCGTATGTATCGATGACTTTATCCATTAGTAGTATGGCAATCTTTATCCATGATATAAAACACAAAAAAGATTATAAATAACACACACCAACTCGATTGAAGACTAATGCATTGAGACCTCTAGAACTTTTGAGGGTAAAAAATTCTGCCAACTATACAGAAAAAATCACCAATCATCAACATCAACATCATCAAATCATCAACTCATAAATTGCATGCGCATGCTGTTGGCTTTGACGTCAGTCCAGTAAGTTCAAACCATCCGTCAACTATTAAAGTTGAAGCCGGTATGTGGCAAAAATATACCATATTTGACGCTGGTCTGCGGTGAAAGAATTTGTTTAACATGTTGGTAGGGAACGTGTTAAACTCCATAGCCCATTTCTGTACTTTCCCCCCCATCATTATTGCATTAGGGCCAGGAACTTCAGTCATCTGCTGATGCATGTCAGCATCAGATATGTTTCTTGTTCAAACATGGCAAGAAATTTGATGATTACAAAAATATAAAAAACACACAGAGAAACGTAAATGTAAGATACAGAGCTACAAGTAGGGTCATTCTGTTCACAAATATGATGCCAGTAAGCAGTTAGGAGCCTCATTTTGGCGTACACATGAACTACGGATCTATACACAAAAACAACACTTACTTAAAAACATGTACACATACGAGCGATATGACACATACTTACTCCCATTAACTTATGTCAACAACCCAAATTTAATCAAAATCAGTCCGTAGCTCTGTACACATACTTTTTGGCTTTAAGGGGACCCAATATGGATATTTCCACCAAAACTCAAACTCATCAATTTTGACATAGAGGAAGAAAGTCAAAAGATAAAACCTTGAACTTTAACACAGTAAAATTGTATATTAGCGAATTTCCCTATAGGGAAGTAGCTATTACCGTAGGTCTCATGGTAAGACCTAAGCCCTGGACCGATTTACTTTTTCATTTTGATGTCCCCAGAGGCCAAAAACACCATTCGTTCAAATTTTTATATATCTATATCTATATATATATATATGTGTCCATCCACACGATAACTTGAGTAATTTTTGTCCGATTTTGATAAAATTTGGTTTGAAGGTGTAAGGCGGGATAAACTTGAATGAGTTCGCGAACCAGCATGATCGGACTATGGAAACAGGGTTTTATGGGGTAAAAATAGGTTTTTCCCATTTTTGACCCTAAAAACACAAAATTTCACAATTTCTTTTTAAACCATTTTGTAGAGCTTAAAAAAACAAATAATTTAGTATATTGAAGTGTTATTGTGCGCCTAATTGTTACGGAGAAAATTCAAAAAAATTGTAATTTTAAAATTCCCATGTTATTCTTATGGAGAATAAGTCAACTGTTGTAGTTTGCTTGTTTATGAACATATTTTGATTGATTTTGGTAAATACTTTTATTTCTTACTAAACTATTATCATTTTATAAAAAAAATCTTTTTTACCCTCCCTGTTGCAGCAAACCTAAGTACCCGTTAAACTAATTCTATTTAAATAGGAAATAAATGTGCTATTTTTATGGAGGCATTTTAGTGTAAATCCAATCAGGTTAATGAAAATTCGCTTAGTCTGCAGGTTTGCTGCGGGGGGGGGGGTATTTTTTATTTGATAAAACATTTACCGGTAATTAAATTGTTAAAAAACATGTACAATTGTTATAATGTACTATTAGTATTCTCGCAAAGATTAATCATCAAATTCGTCGTCGTTGTCCTCGGTTTCATTACTTTACAACCACGCTGCTTCTCCAAATCTCATGACTGTATTTTGGTGGTGTTCGTCAAAAACCAAACAATTTCCCTTTGCAGAAGGCTGAGGCTGGATACTGTTACGGAACATAAGTTACTGATGAAATTGCTTTACATTTGGGTTGTTATTATTTCCTTCTCTACCTCAAATACATGAAAATAACAACTCCAGGTGATCTTTAGAAAACTTCGAGATCAGTTAGTAGTTTATCAATTAAAATGTGAATTGTGTTGATGGGTGTTCTAAGATGGGGACGTTTTCAATTTTGTAACTTTTTAAATAGTTTAAACTTATGTATAAGATCATATTAATGTAGATAAGGTGCTTTCTTTCTTTATGGGGGATTTTAAATTCTTCCCAAACGGGTCTCTACTGTTGAAAATGTCAAACAATTGGTCCATTATTCTAATGAAATCGATGGTTGGTGTGTCTTCATTAACAAAAATTCTAAAGCGTCAGCAACGCCCGAGCTCAAGGTTTGAGCTGCAATTTTGACGTTAATTTTCCTGTTTCTGTAACATATATGGTTGTCAGACAACTTGCTAGTCAATGCTAATCCTTCATCCTTTTGCAAAGAATTAAGATTCTTCAGTTGAATGCAACACAGCTCTGCGGCATTATCTAGAACTTTCATTAGACTTAACAAAAATTACCAGCATAACACCACGAGTACAACAGTGATTACATGGGATGTAAACAGTGCATCATACAGAAGTCAACGCACGAAATAGTCGCCGGCGCCGCTTGGTACCCCACTTGTGGGGGGGGGAGCCTATTGAGCGCCGGCTCGTTTTCAGCACTGTACTCTCGTGGCAGGGCGCGATCCAGTTAGGCTATATACATCGATGGCTAAGTGATAGGGCGACTGATCAGTCGAGGACAGGGGTCCTTACTGTGATATATTTTTCAGTTTATTACATAATTAATAAAGTGAAATTATTCAAATTCCAAATATTTTAAGTATAAGCCATTAACTTTGATTGTTTTGTTTTCAGTGCCTCAGGCCTACAGTCCAGTGCAGGGAGGCCAGAACAGGCTTGCCAATAGAACTCCTCAGCCTCAGGCATCAGGTGTGTTAGAACAAACCATAGTAAGATCAAGACTCACTGTGCAAAATTGGCCTAACTTTTGACACAGGGATTACAGTTTTATATTGACTTGGGAAACTGAAATCTCCCATCTATAATGGACCACCAGTAACTAATTATTATCATAGACTAACCAACACAAGTAGACTTCTCATCCCAGTGTAAATTTTTAAGCACGTTTTTTGTGTCTAGTTCATGTACGGTGTTGACAAAATTTTGTTGTTTTGCTTGGTAAAAAATCTGGTGTATTTGACAGATATACGTATTTTATATCATCACTCTGTTCATTCATGTTATCATTAAGTAAGAAACTGGAAACGGTCCTATACAGTAGGGTGGGCAGAAAAATCAATAATTTTTTTTAGTTGTAATACCTTGGAAAAGTTGCTAAATTGTAAGACCAAAACCTGGCAAAAACATGAAAAATATTGGTCGTTTTCTTCAACCAAAAATAAAAAAAAACTCTGTATTATATTACACAATTTAAAAAAATTTTTATTTAATATGTAATAATTGAAAATGTCATCTGCAAGACACCAAGGAATTGATATTTAAACAAAATTGTAAGCTAAGATCTTCCGGTCGCGCATTGGCTGTATAAATATTGCCAAAAATCTAGAAAAACATAATTTTGTACTACACTTATTTGAAAAATAATTATCGATATCAAAATGTAATACCGCAAATCTGTTTGTACACATTCAGATAGTAACATAACAAAAACAACGGACAAAGTCAGAATTGATCTTCCGGTCGCGCATAGGAATACAAATTCACTTAAGCGCGGCTTTAGCGGGTCAGTAACCCGACCGACGTCATGTGATTCTGAAGTTAAAGTTTCCAAAATTCAACAACATGATTGATGGTGATGATGTTTCCCTGTGCTCACTAACTAATATAGACTTTAAAGATTATTTAATTGATATTTTTTTTAACTTGTAAAATTGTTTTACTGAGTATATTCTTCTAGTTAGCTAGTTAATAATGTTTTAGTAGTTGGTCTCAGATTTAAGAGAAGCCATATTTCGTGTTTTCCCTTATATACTCACCATCACTTAAAGTCTTCTTATGCAGTTATCAGTAGCCAAAATGGTAGAATCAGAAACTATAAGGGCTGATTTCTAGGCTATCACTAGTTGGAAATGTACCGCCCTGTTTGAGAAAATGATGATGACCAACCCAGCGGGTTTAAACTTAAAATGTAAAAGTAGGTCTCTGAAAAGGCCTAAAATTACATCTCTGTGTTCTTTACTCCCCTTTACTACAAAACAACGTGTAGCCAATCTAATTACCCCAATATTTTAACTCTAGACAAATGTTGTCTTCACTTAAAATTACTGTAGTCCTTAGTGTCCTGCAGATGACATTTTCAACTATTACAATATAAAAATCAAAAATTTTAAAATTTTAAAAATTTTTTGAAAAAATATGAGTATTTAATTTTTTGATCAAACTTTAGAGCACATGCGCTACTGAAAGATAACGACCATTATTTTTAATATTTTTACCAGGTTTTGGTCTTACAATTTAGCAACTTTTCCAAGGTATTAAAACTAAAAAAATTTTAGATTTTTTCAGCCCACCCTACTATACAGCTGAGGATGTTTACCATTTAAAGTCAGTGGTGGCACAAAAGATGCATATATTTTATTCCCTTTCCTCACTATCAACTATCAACCATATAGTTCTGTACCATTATTGTATTACAATAGACGCAATTCCTCTCAGATGCACCCCCGCAGTATGTGCCCCCCTCCGAGCAGCAAGCCGCGGAACCCCGCAAGTACACTGGTGGAGCCATCCCTTCTCGCTCCTTCCGAATGTTACAAGCTATGACAGCTGGTAACGACCCCTCAGGTATGTCCTTACAACGTTCATTTCTTTCACTGTAAATAGTTACTCTTTTTCGCAGTGCAGCATTCTCATTATTTCATCCCTCAATCATAATTACCGTCCTAATCACCAAGTTATACGTTATTAAAATCCATCAAATGTGAAATTTTTTTGCATTATAGTAACGGTTCCAAAGTCATATGTTATTTAGCCAGTCACACAACGCGACTTCAATGAATCTGATCATAGATAAATATAATTAAATATAGACTGATAGCAGTGCTGCGGCTAGCATAAGAAATTAAAATATTTATTTTAAAACGAGTTTTATTTAAACTATTTTGTCTGTTGTTTACGTCTATGGTTAACCCTTACAACTCTCATTTTAAGCGCCTATACCTAACAGTATTTTAACTTCAAATTACACTAATAATAAAAATTTTAAAAATATATTTAAAAATTCCTAGAATTTTTAAAATTTTTTTTAAGTCAACATGTGATGCGATTGCGAAACGGCCAATGTTGGATCACGGCCGACATGAGAGTGGTAAGGGCTAAACATTTAATTGAAAGATCAGCTAATCATATTTAAATTCACATCCAAACCATTGTAAAAAATTGGTCAGCATCACTGAATCTTTTAAAGCAAACTCCAAGTAAATCTAATGCTGGGGGACAAAGCACTAAATGAATAAATTACCTTTTAAGTTACCATTCCTCACTCCCCTAGATCGCAAGCTTTACAATGACGCCCCAATAACAAACATTGGGTAAGTAGGACGGTTGAAAAAGGGATGTAACAGAGAAACACCTTTATTGTATTAAGTATAAGTATATAGATATTCTAAAATCACAACCATACCACTCTCATAAGCATAAATGTAAATATCCATAAATAATGCATTTGAGCATTTGTATCTCTGTAGCTCATCTAATTAGCTGTTCATGTCAAAGATCGCATGTTGAAACAGCTGTTATCATTCAAAAAACTTTCATAATCTCTAATGACCATTAATGTTTTTAGAAAGTAACTTTTTTAATTATTCCCAAAAGAGGCTAAATACATAATGCTTTCTTCCCCCCCCCCTCCAAATAAAAACACACACCAACAAAAACTCATCACACTATAAGATTTAGATACAACTTTTTCTAGACTGGCCAATAAAACAAGGTAAAATATAATCTAACGTTTCACATAAAATATGTAATTCTGTGCAGCAGCTATCTAAAACACCAGTCAAAAGGCAAGTTTTGTTTGATAAATATATGAACCTACAAACTGCAAAAATAAAAGTAAGAACTGTAAATTGAAACAAAAGATTCTGCATTTTTGCTGTTGTACATCTCTTACAAACTTTTGAGATTATTCAAAATAATGTAGCCCCCTCATCAGGTCAAGTAATTCTATAAATTTGTCATACAATGGTTATATAAGAATGCAATAAGTTTTTGGAAGATACTGTTCAAATTTACAGGGGTTGAATGACAAATAAGCTAAACTAAAGAAGAACCTTTTACATGAAACCTGTGGAAATTTAGTATATTATCTTGTATTATCAAATACACTCTCATACTTCTTTGGAACTGTATGTGGCAAAAGTTTAAACAGTAGGTACAGTAAAAAATGTATAGACAAAATTGCTAGGTACTAAATGATAAGTTTGATTACAATATTTTCAGTGCAGTACCCAATCTTAAAAAGGTTATCCCAAAAGGTAGGTACTTAGCAATATATTATATTTATGTCTTACTGTTTATAACTATACAATTATGTTAGAATCTTTTTAAATACCAGATGGTAGACTACTTGGATGAATAAGAAATTCTGCATTAACATGATTAAAAGTTCCAAATTGTTTATAGGTAGTTTACATGTCTGGTGGTGTTATTTGTTATAGCAGCAATGTCTGATGGCCGTCAAACACCACAAATATATGATGGGGGAGAGGTTATGTGGGCTCCCAACAACTACCCCTACCCTCCTAACTATTACTACTACCCTCCCCCGCCGCAGACAGTTGAACAGCAACAGCAGTTCTGGGACCATTACAATGCCATGTGTTCTTATGTGGCTGAGATGAACAACAGTTACGGATATCCACATCCACCGTATGGTTACCCACTCCACATGTATACACCACCTCCTCCTCAGAACCTTCAGTATACAAGTGATTCTGACGAGTGTGGATACTCATCCACAGATGAAATGAACTATTATGCCGCTTACTTTAAGAAGTACCCACCTCCTATTCAACCATATCGCACCTACTACCATGACAATCGCTCTCAAACACCTCAGATTGTCATCACTCCGAGCCATCCGTACGGAAACAGCGGATATAGCAGTGATGTAGTTTCAGATTCTGAAAGAGAAATGAGCAGAAATAAGAGTTCTTTAACTAGTTCACCAAGTGTAAATGGAGATTCAGGAGGAACTACTACTGACGACGGTTCCGACACTGAGGTCGAGGATGATAATTCTGACAGGCCAATGGGATTGCAGACTATAAAGTCTGTTCCTGATATAAGTGTGTACAAGGATTCTAGTACTTCTGACATTCAGTCTCAGAATTCAGAGACAGATGAACCAGATGAACCAGATGAAGAAACTAATGAAGAAGAAGAGGAATATGAAGATAAACTACCACATCAACTCAGTGTGATATTTGAAGAAAGTGAACATTCTGAGATAGAAAGTCTAAAGAAAGTAAAATGCTTGAATGTTGATGGAGAAACAACCAGCGAAGGAGAAAGTTCCACAGCCACTCTGGACAATGGAGAAGATACTGATGATGATATTGCTGATGCTGAATCTTCCACCGTTCTAGTTAGGTTGCCTCTAAAACTTAAATTTAGTAAAACAGAAAACAATGAGGACTTAACAACTGTCATTGTTGGAGATAGTGAGATAGAATCAAGCCCAGAGGCTGAAGTCCAGCCTGGAAGTCTAATTATACAGGAGGTCAAGAGAGTTGATGATGAACCAGATGTATCTGTTACTTTTACAATACCTAAGAAGAAAACAAAATCATCAGAGAACATTAGTGTAACATACGGGATAGAGACTGGTGATGTTCAACCTATTGAACAAGATACAATTGATATAAATTGTCAATTGGAGGATAATAAGTACAGTGATAACATTTGTGATAAAGAAGTTTCAGTGGTTGTGAATTGTGGTGAGTCATGTAAAGCTGATACAATAGAAGAAAGATGCAAGTCTGAATCACCTATCGACTTTTGGAAAGAATTAAGCTGTGATGATTTAACAACTAAGTCTCGAGTACCTGCAGATATCAGTATTAGTGTTACTCTACCTCCCAAAAGTATCACAAAGTCTGGATCGAGATCCCCTTATAATATTTTGACATCAGAAAGTGACGATAGTAGGCCGGAAGAAAGTGACGGACATTGGGAAGATGACTCCAGCAGTACAAGTGTTCAGACAGTCCGCATCGGAAAACATTCAGGTAGTGATAATTTCAGTGGTAGTGAAATGGAAAATTGTGGAACAGCAGATGAAGTCGAAGATATTCAAAAACCGTCCTCTACTAGCAAAGAAGAGACAATATGCGTGGATGATAGAAATATAGAACAAGAGTTCAAAACTATTGAAGATGACCATGAAAAAATACCCATAGAAGATTTACTTTATGACTCATCCTCTAGCGATGATGATGATGATGATGACTCAAGTACTTCAAGCTCATCGAGTGGAAGTTCAGAAGAGAGCAGTGCTGTTAGCGAACAGAGTAAAGAAGCAACACAAACTTCTGTAACTTCAAATGATAGCAGCAGAGCTGAGGAAAAGTGTGATGATGATGTTTTTGTCAGTGAAATTTCTAAGAGTGAAGTCAGTAATCATCTAAAAGTTGATCAAAAGCCAAGAAAAGTCAGAGAGGCTAGTTGTAAATCACAGGATGAAAGTGAAGAAGACGATTCCGGTGTCACCTCTGATATGAGCCGTCATATCTCTGAGACTGATACTGAGCCCGAATGTGGTAGTGAGTTAAGGAAACTGACACCTTATCAAAGAGCATCAACTCATTCAAGATTATTTAAATTGCTTCAAGATGAATGTTCAACAGAGAGTGACGAGCAGGAGATAGTAGATAATACCACATTAGGGGATACTGAAAGTATATGCTCTCGAAAAGAAAGGCTATCACTTCCTCTACAAACTTACACACCAAGTGATCCGGACAGTATGTCATCATCCTCTGGTATTAATTCTCCTGTTTCACCAACAATTAATGACAGGCTGGTCAGAGAACTAGTACAAAGCCTGTTGAACAAGAAAAAAGGACGTCACTTCAGAAAACTGCCAATGGATAAGCTGTACGCAGCTGCACTAAGAATCCTTCAAGAAGACATGGATCCTTACGATACACTCAGTTCTACCTCAGATGATAGTTTCCAGCATTCCCCTATCAGCGAGTCCACTGCCGTACATTCTAATGACAACACTGCCACAAACTCCACATCTCAAACTCAGGAAGCCTATGGAGGCAACTATTACGATTACTGTGATTATTACAATACTTGGGGAAATCCATATTACTACTCAGATGTCGAAGATAGTTTAGGATACGACATTATTCCTTCTCGCGCATTTAAACTTTTACAAGAACGAGCACATACTCCTCATGGGTTCAGTTCTGGAGTGATCGAGGGCTTGGTCGCCAAGTGTCCTCGTGTTCTAAGTTCTAAGGACGTTCCTAAAGATGTCGGTCAAGTACCAGTTCCTGATTCCTGCCCACAGACCTCTTCCTCTTCTGAGACATGAACTACTAGAAGGGACTCCCACGGATAATATCTGTTGACATTTTTGGAAAAAAATGTCTAGAATCAATAAGTGAAGGTTGACCACACAAGGTAGCATTATGAGCCAACTGTTTCATTTTGTATTTTTCCTAATTTGCTGTGTACGTAGGAATAACACGTTGGTGTTTTATCACTTCTCTCTGTAAACATTTTGTTAGAACTGTCATTAACTATTGTCTTTGGAGGAAACTCCACCTTTT